TAGGTCCGGCCCATCTCCTCCAAACCAAGAGGGAGACATCGTCTCCTCTCCAAGACCCATCAGTGTCCTAGTGGGTAGACTGGGGGAGGAGCCACAACGGATTTCAAGATAGATAGATAGATATTTTCTGTAGCAGGTGATGTAATATACAGTACCAAAGCATACATGTGGATTTTCCCTCAATGTTTTCAATGCCAGTGTGGCACCAACACACACACCGGTGTGTAGCTCCATGTGAGAGGCACTGATGGTTGATGTAAATGAATCTCTGCAGGAGCAGTAGTTKCCTGGCTTCAACAAACAAGCTCTGTCAATAAAAAAACAGCTAACAGCCTCTTTACCGTGGGGAACAGGAATAGACATGTCTTTGGAAAATACTGTATTGAGCATGACACAAGGAGATACATCAGTATCAATAAAGGGTCTAAATCAAACTAATATTTGAGCCCTGTGCTGAGCTTACCTGGTCTCACAGATCAGAACTTCAGGAGGCTCTTTATGTTTGGAAAACTGATGGATCTGTTCCTTTGTTTTTTCTTTCTCTTTTTCCTCCTGACTTTTGCCTGACAGGTTGTCGTCAGTTGCGAGTGGTTCCCTTTCCATCTCCTCACAGTCTCTGCTGCAGGACGGGCTGTTGGACACCTAAACTCAAGAGAGACATGGGAAAATTTACCAACACTCTTCCAGCATGCCCAGAGGCAAAAACAGGAACTTTTCTAAGTGTCTTTTACACCTTGTTTTTAAAGTTAACTTAAATAGCATTTTATTCAAGTTTTTAAACTATCTTTTCTTTACATACACTTAAAACAGAATAAATCAGTCATCCGGTCGGCTGCCAAGTGACCAAAAACAGGAATACAAGGATGGAACAGATCAAAGAGGGAGGTAGCACAGCCAAAACAAAAGTATGATGAGTTGAACAAGAGGCTGAATTAATTATGATGGCAGAGCCTCCCCTGTCATCATGGATAATAAAAAGAAAAAAAACAATATTAAACACATTAAATTGTCTTATTTATAAAATGCTTTGTACTATAAACACATTTTGAATTAATTTAAACACTTTTTGTTTTTCTTATTCAAAATCACTGTATGTTCTCATTTCCTGTTCAAATACAGGATGAGATTTGAAATTTTATATCCTAACCCTGACCATTTACTAAGGCTAAGCTCACAGGTACCTACCTGACCCTAAAACTAACCTAAACTCAATTCACACCTTGGTCCTAAACCCAACCTAAACCACAGCTACTGCTAGTGTTGCTGACTGTCCTAAGATGGCCGCCATGTGAGGACGCAGGAGACTCTATGACTTATCTAGCCTGTATCTATGGTTTTTGGTACCTGTTTTGTAAAGTTTAAGTTTATAAAGTAAAGTACAGCAGGGATCCATTTGTTTTCTCTCTTTTAAACCTGATTTTTAGAATGGAGGATTGTATATTTTAAAGCTTAAACTATTTTCTAAACTGGACTTGGAAGCACCAGGCAAATAAGAGCCACACCACAGCTGAGACTAAAGCTCTTCTGAAACAAAAAGTGGCTGTGTGGATGTCCTGAGAGACACTTTTTTCACCCTGACATGTTTCAACTTGTGACAGTGTTTGGACTCACATGGGACATTCTGAGCAGTGCATGAACTAAGTTATATGTAAAGGCAGGATATAAGAACTTTGTTTTAATCATCAGTCATCAAATGAGCTGCAGTTTGTGTAAATAACACTGATGTGAGATATGAAACATAACCCATTAACGTCTGCCAGTCATATAGTGAATAAGTTGTTCTGTAGGGTTCTTTATAAATCTGATTCTGATGAACTGAGTGCCTCACCATCCATGAACCTCACCACATCACTGAAGCTAACTGACAGTTCAGTGAGAGGAGACTGTGCTGCTCCATTCAGGAAAGGTACTTCAGCTCAATATGCATTGTCTGTAAAGGTTGCACTGGACTGGAGCTCAATTTCTTTAAGAAAACTGAATACTTACAGTGCATTTTATTTTATTCTCGGTTAAAGAATAGTAAAACAATACTCAGATCTGTGAATGCTGTGGTTATTATGCTGTCTGCAGCCATCTGTCAGTGTTTTGTTTGTGTTTGTAGGTTTATTTCTTGTTCTTGTTAATGCACTTTTAATTTGTGTAATATTTATTATTCTGTGGTTATTAGCACATAACTACATTTATGAATTTGATAGGCTGGAGGTCAATGTTTATTAACGTTTGAATAATTATGCTTAATTTCTATGTTCGATATTATAAATTTGCATTATGCTTTTAGTGTTAATTTAAAACATGTGTCCAAGAGCAATAAGTATGGTTTATTTACAACAATGTTCAATAATGTAACAATTTCAATAGACTAGTAACTTAAACTATATTAGCGAGCACTTCCTAAGACCTTACAGACAGGTATAATCATTACCTGAGTATGGCAAGGTCTTTTGTCATCCTCTGGCTCCCTGGATTCAGCCATATTGATTGACATTGGTGACGTAGTGTAAATGGAGGGACTGAGCCTTTGCTTACAGTGCAGCAGAGAGAGAGCTGTCTTACTGGAGAGCCCTGGTGGGTTGGGGTCATAGCTGCTGGTAGACCATGATGAATACACTGAGGGCTTATGTTCATCCAAAGCTGAAGGGTTTGGCTTAATGTAGTTCAAATAACACCAGCTATTACAAGTGCTGGAGAGCAGACTTGGAAAGGAGGCTTTAATGCTTGAGACAGGACAACAAACATCTGGTAAACATGACTGACTTTCCTGTTCGAGCTTTTGATTGCATCTGTCAACTGCTGCTGGGTCGGTACATTCCACAACCACATCATCCTCCTCTTCTTCTTTAACTCTTTTCTGCTGCTGTTGGGACTCAGGATGGAGCTCAATACTGTTTGAAGGAGAAAGCATGCGTTTGTTGCCCCCAGAGCCTGACAACTTCAGGCCATTATCAGACCACAGGTGTAGATCTAAACTCCTGTTATTGTGGTTCCTGGATTCAGCCGCTGAAGTACCTACGAAGGGTGAAACAGCATCAAAAGCCTCCTGAGGCCTTGGTGTGGTGGACTGAGAGAGAGTCGTATATATTGCACATCCTGGAATCAGGGTTTCTGTTTGAAGACGGACTGCTATCGCTAAAGATGTGAGGGGCCTSAGGAGCTCCAGACTAGACGTAATGTGAGGGACATGTTGCTGTGTGAGGGAGTGACTGTGTCGAACCTCGGAATAATTGTCATGTTGTATGGGAATCTCTAGCTTCAGCCCTGTAGACACGGGGAGATAGTGGGCTCTGGCTGCTCCTGACGCTCCGCATGTAGAACTGGGCTGTGGGGCTTGGGGAGGAAGCTTTTCCGGGTGGATGTACGAGGCCTCCTTTATGACACCTACAGAAAGGTCAGAGGGTTTTGGGAGTTCTGTGCTTGCCATCAACTGAATGTTTTGACTTAATTTCCATTGAGGGAAATGGTCTTTGCAGTGTGGCCCCTCAGGATTACTCAGGGCTCTGGCACTTGACAAAGGGGGAGAAGACGAATTGCTGCAATACACAGAACTGGGGCTTGTTTGAGACGATCTGCTGGGACTGACATGTCCAGGACTACGGCTCAGGATGGTACACTGATCGTCATCCTCATCTCGATCCCTGATTGCTGCATGTCTCATAAGGAGGCATTTTCTTCTTTCTTTCCAGCCAACTGCAGAGCGCTCAGGGGAGAGGCAACTATGATCAAAAGACTTACTTCGGGTCTCGGCCATTAGGACACTTGGTTGTGGGTCATGAGGAGCTTGCTCAGATGCTGAGCGCCTCATCTCTCTGTGCTGATGCACCCCAGGCACAGTTAACATGTGAGGGGCTCTTGACCTCCTCAGTGGTGTTGATGATGTTATTTCCATGTCTGCTCTGTTTGGTTCTTCATAAGATGTAGAACGACTGGAAGCAAATGATGCACTACTGTCTTGACTAGGGCTACGAGGCAGAGATATGGAGTCAAAACTGGATTCACCCGAGGACTGGGCAGCCTCGGCTAGACGTAAACGCTTCTTCTTCGGTGGAAGCTTTTCAATAGGAAGCTGCGCTAGAGAGGGGCTACGCTGTGGCCAATGAAATTCATCAAGCTTTTCTAAATTTCTTGCCATGTTGGTTGACTCCAGTGAGGTCTCTGGAATATCTTCTGTTACAAGTATTTCTGGAACCTGCACATTATTTTGGCGAACCAGCTTTCGGGTTGTATGTTTAGTTGATTGATGTTGGGGTTGTTTTTTAGAGACCAGCTGATATTCTTGTGGTGGTGAGTTCTTTGTTTTCTCCAGGCTTCGATTATCACAGCAGAATGATTCTTGTTTCTCAAAAGAACTTGTGTGTTGAATCACTGAACAGGTTTGCGTGGCAGACCTTCTGGGGCCCTCGTAAGCTCCACTACGTTCATTTTTGCATTGTCCTGTCAAGATGGTGGAGGAGGGCAACAAAGATGTGGGTTCATCAAACTCAAAACTCTCCTCTTTCCTTCTCTTGCGAACTGTTGAAGCTCCTGCTCTGACTGAAAGAATACTTAACTGTGAAGGCTCCATTTGATTCATTACCACCTCAATTTGAGGATGATGAGCAAAGCAYAGGTTTTTCTTGTGTTTCTTATAACCTTCCCAGTCCTTGCAGCCAGTGCCACAGGCTTCACATTCATATGGCTGTGGTAGGTATTGCTTGTGTTCAGATACTGTGCTCATGTTTTGGGGGTAAAGTGAATGAGAGGAGTCAAAGTCCTCTTTTGTAAGATCAGTACCGGGTGGAATTTCAATTGCTGGCTGCCTTCTTAGTGTTCCAAAACGACGGGTAGCTGGAGTGCCAGAATGTTGCTGTTCATCAAAGGACTGACTTGAGCGGAATTTGCCTGAACCAACACTGGAGGTGTCACAGGAACTAGATGTAGATGGCATTGAATGACTTCTAACTAGGGAAGCTGAGGAAATTTGGTTAGCTATTTGCTCTGCTTTAAGGGATGGTTGATGAAATTTTTCACATGGAACTCCCATGCTAATGGAACCAGTACTTTTACAGCTAAGCTCTATACATTTAGGGCTATGAATAAGCTGTTCATTCACACCTGGACTCTTCTGAGCCTCTAAACTGTTCTTTCTGGACAGTGAGAATCTCCTTGGTTTTACACTGTCGATTTTGCTGGTGTCCACCACCGCCTCGTTGATGGTGATAAGTTTAGTGATATGGTCAATGACCTGCTTTTTGGGTACAGTGAATGAGATGTTTTTCTCCTCCTGACCAGAGACATGCAGGTCCTGAGGATGAGACATCCTCTGTAGTTGCCCAAGTCGTCCATATTTACCAAGGATGATTTCAGCATAGCTTTTGGCACTTGAGTTTGGGGGGCTGTCTTGTACCTGCTCAGTACTTTCAGAACGTGAAAAGTAGCCAGATTCTGTACTGCCTTTACTGCCTAAAGTTAGAAGTGATGACTTTTCATCAGATGAGTCTTGAGTAGCATGTTTCCCTCTACTGAGACGGAGGGCAAGTCTCTTTTTAACTGCATAGGAGTCATTACCTCCTCCTGTGCAAGCTTTGGCCATTTCATGACTCTTTGCTGGGCTTGTACTGCTTTGTTTCTCTGTGAGGGAGGAAAGAGTTGACAGTTGCCTAGTTTCATCCTCTGACTCTGTGACTTGATCCTCATAAGATTTTGTCTCCCCAAGTGCCAGACCCGCCTTCACCCTGTGGGTATGTGATTTACGGTGTTTGTACAGGTTACTCTTTGTCTTAAAAGAGAAACCACATGGGGCACAGGGATAGGGTCTTTCACCTGTGTGGGAGCGAATATGTTTCTGTAGGACACTAGGCTTTGCACATGCACGCCCACAATATGTGCAAACATATTTTCCTGGCCTCTGGGGCTTACGCTCACGTTTCTGTTTGAGGTTGTCCTCCTGGGTTTTGGATGTGGTTTCTGTAGTGGGATCTGCTGAAGTAGGTAAGACTCCTGATGACAAAGTGAAAACTGAAGTTTGTTTTGCTGCTGTTGATGCTTCATGTTTGGGCTCCAGCACTGTATCCAAGCCAACACACTGCCTCTGGTGACGCAGGCGTTTACGTTCAGGGTTCTGTCTTCTGGGTTGTTTGAGCTGCTGTGGTGCTCCATGAGGTTTTRAGGAACTGGTTGGTTGTTGCCGACTGAGCTGAGAAGAAGACTTGCACTGAGGAGATTCTGGCTGACGATGTTCTGGACCTCCGGACTGCTCCCCAGTCATTAACTGACTATGCAAGCCCTCCATAAAACAGAAGGGAAGCCCAGGTAGACACTTGGGCCACGTCTGCCTGAACCAGGCAATAGATTTAAAGCCCAATCATTAACTGGGTTTATATATGGTAATTCAAGTTATTCACTTTATTTTCCTTGCAGACATGGTACTTGCTTGACTGGCAAACTCAATTGCTGGGCAAAAGACTGRATTATGCCATCAAATACAGAGCATTAGCATTGATTAATTCAATCTTATCGACTCATGTTGTGTGGAGGACTTCCTTTCAATCATCAAGTACTGCTGTCACTCATTCTGATGTTAATGTGGCTGAACTGTTTGCGTGATTCTTCTGTCTTCTCATCATAGGGATCTGTGGAAGAAAAACAACATATTTCACAGGATACCTCAGTCAAAACTCTAACAACAAATGGAAACTTGAATGTTTTATGTATGTTCTGAGATAAAGGTTGAATGCATCTTTGAGATAGGTAGGCAGTAACAGTATTTTTTGCAGGGGGTGGAGTGGGAGCTCAGCTTCAATTAGAAGTAAGAAAGGGTTCTTTTTAAGAATAACGAGCCCATTCTCATGCCCCCCGTGTCAACATATTGACGCTTGACCAAGCGTCAATATGTTGATGCGCGGGGTATACCCCGCACGTCCATTCTGTATGAGATGAGGCGGAGGAGGATGAGTCCCTGAACACAGACCCTAAATTTAACCAATAACCCTGATCCCTCATGTTAACCATTTTCCCCAGACTCTAAATTTAACCTATATTAGTTATGTACAGCCTATCCATGACCTCAGTATCTCAAATTAACCATTATCGCTGACCACAGACCCTAACGTTAACCAATAATCCTGATCYGTCATGTTAACCACAGACCATAAAGTWAACYGTTAATCCTGTGACGYAARCCGGAAAAGCCGCAGGCGGCAAGGACAGACGGGTCAGYTCAAGCGTCAATATTTTACGAGTCCGACATAAGAATGTGTTAGAATAACTTAGCAATTAGTCTTAATTGGAAAAAACTTGATTTTACAACTGAATTAATCTGTTTATCCAATTTAAAGGCACCGTCAAGGAGAAAACCCAGATTCTTGACAGTAGAATGGCTGTATGAAAATAARGGGCCAATGTCATCTGAATTTACTTTACCAAAAGTGATTACTTCAGTTTYACKCTCATTTARATTCAGAAAGTTTAGTTTTAGCCAGGTTTTTATATCATTCAGACAGCTGAAGAGGTTTACATAAAAAGTCTAGGGTGGACTTGCATCAAGGAGTGTCAAGAAGTGTTGCGGCACGTCTAGCGCGGCGTGTTTTGGTGTTCGACGCGCTTGATCCGCATTAAACGCTGAAGATGGAAAAATATGAACTTTAGCAGCTCGACGCGGAGCATCAACCAATCAGAGAGACTCCACTGTGTGAGGTAGTGACAAATTTTCCGATGGGACAGTCTCCTGATGTCCATTAACCTGAGACAGGTGGACAGGAGCTCTCCAGCTGAAATCGAGAGCCTGTAATTAATGCCCTGGCAGGAGATGCGGGCACAGATGCGGGTCAGCGGCTCATCAAACTGGGCTCAGGACAAAAATAGTTCTGAAAGCAAGCCTCGTCAGCTCGCAGTTCCTGGAGTGGTGAAACTCACCAAACTCCGAACTCCTCTGAATTATCTGGTGAATTATTATGAATTAATTATCTGGTGAGTGCGACGTGCTCTTGCTCTCAGTAAATAAATCAAAGCCACTTMTTTTATTTCATCCACAATTAAACAGAGGCTGGCAGGAGGCACCTCCCGACACACGTGATGCGCGTCATGCGTGTCAAGGGCAATTTTGACGAGTGGATGACCTCAAAGTGCACAAGTGTTTAACTTGAMGTGTTGGATGCATTTTTGACAAGCAGCATTAGACTGGCAAATACAAAAATCAGGGTTTTTAGTGAGCAGTTGTAATGTTAGTGTTGAGATAAGTTTGTCCTGTTATACTGTATATGAATGTTTTGGGTTTTTTAAATATTTGCTGTGAAATAAATTGCCCATTGGGCAGAGGTCATCAACCCTGTTCCTCATGACCCACTTTCCTGCATGTTTAGATGTTTTCGTTAGGGATGAACGATATCACATTCACATGGGTTTTGGCCAGTGTTGGTCATTTTTAGCATATCGGTATTGGTCCGATAAGTAAAACTGGGTTGATATTAACGTCAGATATTGATTTCCTGCTTGTTGCTGTTTGTGTTTCTGTCTTGGGAGGGGAAATGGCTGGTCGAATAGTATCTGTTTGATCATGATAGTGATATTGATGCTGCACAGCCAGTAATAACTGAAGTAGAGACCCATGTCAGCGGTCTGGTATTTTTTTTTTTTTTTGCGGTATTAAAAAAAGACACAAGTATGTTTGTGTGTATGTATATATAAAAATTATTATTAAAATAATATAAATATTAGTTATCAGCCATAAACAGCTGATATCAATATCRGCTGAAATTTTCATATCTGCGCATCTCTAGTTGTCATGCTTTAACACGCCTGCCTGAAATAATGATAAATTGACAGAATTCTGCTAAACTTGATGACATTCTGAGTAATTTAATTATTTGAATCAGGTGTGACAAAGAGGGAAACATCTAAAACCTGCAGGACAGTGGGTCATAAAGAACAGGGTTCAAGACCACTGTTTTAGGGAATAAATAAAGATTCCTGAACTTGACTTTAGGTTAAGTTTAGAACCAAGAAATGCTAAAGTGGAAACGTCTTAATATGGTTAAAAAAGTTTAGTAGGTCCTCTGGATGGTTTCTTCTTTAATGAAACGTTTCGTCTCTCCTTCAAGAGACTTTTTCACCTACTAAACCTTTTTTTCTATATGTATCACTGGGATGCATCAGGACAGTTAATATTATCTAAATAATACTCAACATTATGCCAACTGCATGTTCTTTGCAATGTATTTCATGGAGTGCAGCGCATGTGAAACTTACTTTATTACTTCTAAATGTCATCACATCAGCTGTAATTTTAGCTACTTTAAACGTTGGGATGTATATTAGTTTAGAGCTCTTCAGTGGAGATACTGCAGAAATACACTGATATTTTGTGCCAGCACACAGAAACAGTAAACAAGGCAACCCACGCACTGACCAGCTGGTTTCTACACCCACATTCTGGTGGAAGGCTGAAAAACTGCTGGACGTTTTCCAAATGACTTGATAACTGGTTATAACCATCTTTAAATTAACTTGTGATGCACCGTACGTAGAAACCCTGAAACCTTTGCATTAAAACAAGTAATCTATAAAACACAGTAGTGTTTCTTCAGTRGGTTTTGTTTGCAGTTTAGACTGAATTGCTAAATTTACATAGGTCAGTCAGTTAACTGTACAAAGAGTTTATAGCAGACAGACAAAATGTTCTGCATTTAGTATGTAAGATTAGTCCAACTAAATCTAAGTAAAATTTATTTCAAATATAGCAAATCACCCATTCATTTCCATTCATTTATTTATACCAATAATGCTGGACCTGCAAGACATGCCTACATATAAAAATAGTTTATAGGTGCAACCTCACAGAGCTACAACTGTTGGAGAGTAGATGGTGACTTTAACATGACTCAGTGTTGTGAGAAATTACACAAGTTTTCAGTTGCTGTCTTTATAAATGAAGTGAATCAAGCGGTGCAGTCGTGTTTTGTTTGTTTCTTTAAAAAATTATATATGAAATGAAAAAATTTAAATCACAAATAAAATGAAAGGTAGCAGAAAATATCTTATATCTGCCCAATCTTTCTAAAAATTAATTCTAACAACWTTAATTTTATAACTGATATTGGTACAATTCGGACATAATATTGATATAATCAATATGATTATGACAAACATTTTTTAATATTTTAACATAATAATTATTTCTTTAAAATACATTCAAAATGTTTAGAAATAAATTACAAAAATTAATTTGATAAAGTGCAAATTAAAATATAGTTGTATCTGCAACTGTATTTGATAATGTTTTGAACTTTTAAAATATTACATGGTAAAAACAGAAGCTGCTCTTCATATTAGTGACAAACTTTGGTGTTTTTGATGAGTTACTTTCATTTTTGCTTCTACTTTTCATTTAAAATAAGTTTCCWTTCTCAGCAGGTTTTTTCTTCTACATATTAAAGTTGTTAAACATCTGAGTGGTGCACTACTGCTACTAGTGGTGAGAAAGTGTATTACACCTTATTTAAAATCAATGCTGTTCGGTGGACCAAAGTTAAAAACTGTTGTTCTTTTGAGGCCCTCAGGGTTAAGAAACTGTTATGAGCCCATGAGTGCTGGGCACCAGAAGGTGCAAGACACTTAAATAAAATCAATCAATCAATCAATCAAAAACATATTTGCACTCACTAGATTTTAATACAATGTGAGAGATTACATTTTTTGCATCATTTTAATTTTTTTAATTAAGAGTTATAAATGTTTTTATTTCATTGTTTTAAATGGTCTCTTGCGCTTTATTTTATGTGAAGCACTYACGCCATTGGCAGTTGTTTTTAAATGTGCTCTATAAATAATTTTATTTGAATTTATTATGTGGTTGAAGTTGATTAAATTATTACCTGCCATGCTTGTTTCATCCGATGTTTACATTTGATCTTGCAACTTCCTGCTTAATCTGGCAAAGAGTAGCACTTCTGAAACAGGAGCAACACTGAAAGTAGAGTAGAGAAACAAACTCAGTTATCAGTGATACCAACATTGACATTGATAATACCAATACAATGATGTAAAAAGTGGACAAAATGCAACGTGACCATTCAGAGGTCAATGTGAAAAACACCAGATGTATGACATGGTTTGATCTGATTTGAAAAAGAAATATGATATCCAGACTGTCAAATAAATAAATAAATAATCAAATTAAGGACACTTTTTCTGCAGTGTACAGTAAATAAAACTTAAGTCTACCATTATTGCTTCTATATAAACAAGAAATGCATGTTTTAATTGTTAAAAAACTTCTTTTAAGTAGATTATTGAGTCATTTTTGACATGACGTTTTGTCAAAAAAACCATCAACACGGTCACTATGACATTTCAGACAACTTATGAAAACTGGAAGCCTCTTTTAGGCGTGTACATTCTATAATGCCAACAATCCAATCAAATACATTTGCATACTGGCATACTTTTATTTGTAATTYAGACATAAAAAAATTCATTGGTTGTCTAAAACGTTACAGTCTGACAGGTGTATTAGCAACTTATCAGTCATAATATCAGTCAGAGCACAAAGAAGTCTTCTTCTTTTACACCAAAAATATACTGCCTGGCCAAAGTCACCACCAACAAAAGGTCACACACACTAATATTTACATGGACAGCCTTTAACTTTGATTACAGCTTGCATTCGCTGTGGCATTGTTTCAATAAGCTTCTGCAATATCACAAGATTTATTTATATCCAGTGTTGAATTAATTTTTCACCAAGATCTTGCACTGATGATGGTAGAGTCTGACCACTCAGGGCTCTAGACTAACTTTGTGCACTGGTTGCACCGGTGCGCCTAACAGTTTTTCTTAGGTGCACCAGCACAAAAGTTAGGTGCACCCAAATTTTCAACCACGTCACCTAACATCAGAGTTTTACAGGTTATTTTTTAATCACTGTTCATTAAGGCAACATTAACTTGAAAATAATTAGTTAAGAATCTAGTAAACATGAAGTTCTTTATTTGAACCAGAATTGTAGACATTTAACTTACTGAAAAGTATTTAAAGTGATTCTATAAAATCCTAAGTGCAAATGTTTAAGAGCTGAACATTTTATAAACATCTTAAACATTTAATGGTTACATTTTTAGACACCTGCCCCTCAGATGGACAACTGTGGACCTTTGGCCTTGGATCAACCAGAATGATGAACAGAGAATAATGATTAATAACAGAAATATTACTGATATGTATTAAAAGGTTGTGCAGATTTTTTAAAAATAATAACATAAAAGTCTGCAATTTCATCATTAGTTAAATCTAATTATTTTATATTATTTCACTTAAATATCTAATATGTCTAGTTTTATCCTCCTGAGACCCAGAAGAACCTATTTCAGAWACTTGGAATGTAACTGTGGTGAAGTCGATTAAGTGGAAAAGCGGCCTGCCATACAGTGAGCTTCATTGTCCTGCTCAAATGATCTGCAGCGCTCAGACCCYGACTGTTAAATTAACAAGATGGACGAGAGAGCACCCGTCCACATCTTGTTTTGTTTCATGGTGGGTACAATTATTGACCATTTCCCTGGTACACACAGCCAGGTGAGGTTAGGGTTTGGGTCAGGTGTGTAGTCTACCTGGGAGGTTATGTTTGGCTGTAGAACTGACAGGGAAATAAATGGAAGCCAATGCAAAGTCCCCATTAGGATAGAACAACAAACGTGTGGAGCGGAGCCGCGAGCAGAGCTCAGTGTTATTAGGAGACATGAGACTGTCGGTGGGCGACCATTGATACTGCTGGATTATTTTTATGGAACATGATGAAAACTTTTAGTTTCAGTGGGCGACCGCTCCCCCTCAAACGACTGGTCACACCAGTGCGACCAGACATTTTTTTTAGTCGCACTATTAGGAAATCTGGTCACATTTGCGACCAAATTGGTCGCACTCTAGAGCCCTGCCACTGCACAAAGCCTTCTCCAGCACATTCAACCTTGACACACTCAGTGGACTTTGTGGAGCCAATCCATGTGTTAAAATGACGTCTCATGCTCCCTGAACCACTGTTTCACAATAAGTAAGTAAGTAAGTAAGTAAAGTTTTATTTATAAAGCGCCTTTCACAGAAATATGTTCACAAGGTGCTGTACAATCAGTAACAGTATAAAAATGGTGGAAAGAATAAAATGAAACAGAAAAACATAATTAAAACATAAGCAACGAAAAATAGAAACATCAAGTCAAGATTAATTTCTAAGATTGTAACTCAAACACAAGGTCACTGCAGAGCAAAATATACAACAATACACAAAACGTAATGAATGCGGGAGAGAAAAATTATGGCGTACGTTCAATAAAAGAAAAACACAGATTGGCAAGCATTCAGTACGGAGGTAGGCTGGCATTGGTGAAAAAATCGTTAGCTAAACGCTTGAGTGAAAAGTGAGTTTTTAGGTGTTTCTTGAAAGAGACAATGTTATCAAGGGAGCGCAGAATTAAAAGGGAGTTCATTCCAGAGCCTGGGGGCCACAGAGGAGAAGGACCGGTCACCAYGGGTCTTAAAGTGAGTGAGGGGAACCATAAGGAGGTAAATAAGAAATAAGAGCCCGATGAATCCTGGCAATCCTGACAAAAGAAATTATGGATTTGGTCAACTGGTCTCTGAACGCAATCGACACTATTTTTTTCCACACTGAGACTGGAGCGAGGGGAGCGCAGCTGTCCCAGTGGAATGGTGGTGGCCGGTCGGGTCACTGTTTCTTGGGGGAGGAACCTGATCTTTGGTGCCACTTTCCATTAAAGACGTGGAAGGTTTGTACATATTTGGATTTATGATAACTGGATTCCTGCTGATCGACTGTGGAGGAGTTCTGTCTTACCGGAAAATTAAAGCRATCCTGACAGAAGTCCGGGCCTGTGAGAAGCTGTCAGGAACCATGGACAGAATCTCCAGTACTGGAAACGCACAGACTCATTGGCTAGGGGATATAAGTCGCAAACTGGATATGATTCTGACGAGAATCACAGCTCAGCAGCGTGCCCATGAGATGTAGGATTACACCTGGGTGAAGTTTCAGAAGGAAAGAGAGGTGAGGAGGTAATGAAATTCGGAACATTGGCATTTTGCCATCACAGAGATGCAGYTACAGACTTTAAAGCAGTGAGAAAATCAAGGCTGCTTGTACCAAAACAATTTTGTTTATCTTTGGATCCCTGCAGCTGCTGACCTTGGCTTGGCCGTTATCAAACTCCCTGGATGACATGTGAAACAAAGGCTTGATTCCCCATTCCCTCCCCCATATCATCCGTGGGTGGACCAGTCCGAAGGCCGCGATGGTGGGACAGAGAACTGAACTCTGGTGATCTGAGCTTTAGCTTATAACAACTTGTTTCGGACTCTGGAGGTCTCTGAATGGTTCCAGCACGGGGTATTAACCTGTAACGTGATCGGCTCCGCTGCATCCCACCCAATACCATGTGTTTGACCTCCAGCCCCCTCCCCTCCTTAGCTGCCTTGCACTAAGCGTGTGGTTCTTTTGTGCGTATGATTATGTGTTTATGTGTAAACGTAGAATCAGAGCATCTTTTTTAAACTACCTCTCCTATTGTTTTCTTGTTTCCTAAGCTGCAAAAGGTAGCATGACCATCATTGCGAAAGACCTGAACATTCGTTCCCCCATGTTTGTTATGTCCTTCTTGAACGGGTGTTCTAAACTGCAAAATTTCATTGTGATGCAAATTATAATGACAATAAAATCTATTCTATTCTATTCTATTCATTGTCATCTTGGAATATGCCCGTGCCGTGCCATAAGGAGAAAAAACCATTGATGGAATAACCTGGTCATTCAGTATATTCAGGTCAGCTGACCTCATTCTTTGAGCACAGACTGTTGCTGAACCTAGACCTGACCAACTACAGCAACCCCAGATCATAGACCTTGATTAAATCCAAGTGGACACTTGTTTTTTTGGCCAGGCAGTGTATTTTCCAGGCCTATAAAACCACCTTCTCTTCTAAATGTTGGTGTGTGAGACTACATCAGCTAATATCAGACCTTTACACCTGTGAATCAAACCATTTGTCAAGTTTGTTGCTTTTTTCTTACCTAAATAAGTCTGTTACTGGGTGTAGTATGTGAGCTGAACATAGACAGACTTAACAGCTGCTGAACGTTCCAGATCACCAGGAGTTCAGTAGACTTATGAAGACTAGACGTGCTGATCAGGCCGACTGATAGGCTCACCAGCTCCATCCATATAAATGTGTTTGCAGGAACATGCATGTTGGCTTGAGACACCAGCAACAAATGAAACAAATGGAGTCACATAAATTGTTTTATAGTTTGCTAATGAAAAAGTGACTTAAAAGCTTGAAAAACAGGATAAATGGAATCTTGTTTGGTTAGGCTGTAGCCTACAAATCTTCCCTTTCAACTGTTTTTCATGCTGTATGACTGATGGCACGGCTGCAAGGTAACAACTACTGATATCACTTAAAAAATATCGAAGTGTTGACACTTGGACAGAAACTCAAACATTTCAGAGGCTTATTATTTGTAGCAACTTTAAAAGGATCCATGATTAGTTGTAGCATTAGACTTTATTTAATAAACATATTTTAACTGTAAAATAAAGAC